TCTTTCCCTTTTTTATTTTGGTCCAACTACTTTTCTTTCTCTGCTTAGACCTTCGTGAGAGGGCGTGCAATGCAGACCGCTAACATAAAATAATAATAAATAAATAAAAAGATAAAGAAAAAAATATAGAACAGATTTTGGTTAGCCAAAAACAAAATACGTTATTGAAATTTCCATTACCCCACTCCCACCATCCTTCAGGTTGTGAAAGCAAAAGAAATTCATTTCAAGAATGGCCATAACATGGATAAAAATTTTCTTGACGATCCACTAGGCCAAACCATGCATACATACACCAATTAATTAACATTACATAACTCATTGCTTCTTTCATCACAAAACAAGCAAATAAATCCTCTCAACTGAGCAATTGCTTAGAAGTGGAACCCAACATTTGACAAGGTTGACAACCCTTCATGAACAAAGAAGAATAATTAGCATTGGAGTTAGAAATTCCAAGAGGGAAACTAACAACACCACCAATAGGAACAGCATTATTATTGTGTGGTGGTCTATTTGCCCCTGCTTGTTCCAGCGTCTGCACCTGTTTCTTCAAGAACTTCACGTAGTGAATGGCCTCATCCAACATCGAAGCCGTGTCCATTTTCGTGCCACCAGGGACTAATCTCTGAAGAATCCTTATCCTCTCGCTTATCCTTTCTCTTCTGTGCCTCGCAGCCACGCTCTGTGGATCCTTCGAAATCTTCACGTTCCTTCTCTTTGGTGGCTTAATCGATTCCGGGTCTATGTGAATCGGTTGCATCACCGCTATTCGGAATATCATTTCCCTCATCGCCGCCATCGAGTTCTTTTTCTCCAAAGTGTCATGCGACGGTAGTGTTGTCGTCATGTGTTGTTGTTGGATAACGTTGTTGTTGTTGTTGTTGTTGAAGAAGTTAACATTTGATTGTGGTGGATCGGTGAGAGTCGGTGGAGTTATACTGTTGAATACGGTGGAAACGCTTCCACTTGATAATAGGTCGGTTTCTTGGTAAAGGGTATAAAAAGGGTCGCAGAAATCAGGGAACTTTTCCATTTGCATCATCATTGCCATCATGTCCATGTTGGTGGTGTCACACGCGGAAGTCTTCACTATGTCCACGTCCATGAAATAGGAGAGTGGGGAAGGTAGGAAAAGAGAGGCGCAGAGTATGGGAGGGCTCAGGAACCAGTTGTGGAAGTAGGGTTTGTGGTGATAAAGGGTGAGAGAAAGAATAAAATAGTAGAAGAAGGAGAGTGCAGAAGAAGATAGAAAGAAAAAAGATAGATTATTATTTGTCTCTACAACCGACCAACAACAACAATATCCAGCACGGTCACTGTAAGTGGAAGCCCTTTTTATAGCAACTTGTCACCAATATTTTATCTTTCGAAACCTAAAGAAAATCTAGGAAGCTCTCATTTATGAATTTTTATATTTTTACAAGAAAACCTTGTTCGAGCCAAATAGATTTATTACAAAGGATAATTTTTTGTCTTTTAATATCTAACATATAGTTATATATCTTGATTGATTTTTTATTTTACTATTTATCAGTTTTATCATGATTAATCTTAGACATAACTAACTATTTTTAATGGAATCTATTTTTTAATTACATATTTTTTATTTATAAAATTGGAACTCAAAATCTTATTTAAAAGCCTAAATTCAATACTAAACAAATCAACCATTTATTGTTATTCAAAACTTGAGTTTGGATGAAGGAGTTATTGGGATTGAATTTGATACAGGCTGATGTATAACTGTATATGTAGGACTAAACAGAATATTTGGAAAATTGAAAATAATCCAGCGTCGGTTAATTGATGTACTGACTCATTTATGATGATTGAATTTACAATTTTATTAATTGTTATCACCGATGGAAACCGCCCATGATGTGTGGGGCTGGGTGTATAGGAAAGGTTTGATTTGCACCGTTGATGGAGAGAGGTCAAAGCGTGAGGCATTTAAGATGAAGGGTTGATGATGAAGAGGGACCACATAGCGGTGGAGCTGGGGTAGAAAGATTGGTTGAAATGCTGGTGCATGAATCAGGTTGCATTGTATGTGTCATGCATCGATCCTTTTGACTGAAAGCTCTTTGTTTTTGCTTTGGCTTCAAATTTTACTACTTTCTTCGATAAAGCCCCCAAGTAGCCCCCACAGTCACATGACATATGTCAGAACAAGACTGGGAGATAAATACACTGCAACCTTCAACCCTTACCTCCGTCACCGTCGGAAATGGCCGCAAAAGCCACAGATCAAGATAAGAGTACAGTGGGCCTAACCTAACTTCATATACTTGGCAAAAAAGAAATGGAAAAAAGGACAAAATTCACTACCAAATAATAAAATATTCCAAGATAATACGTTATTAACTTTAATTTTGGTGAAAATAATCCTGTAACAAGACCTTATGTATTCTCTGTGTCATTTAGATTAATTTAAGACGAAACTATAAGACATCGGTTAAATAAAAAAGAATTTAAATAGTCTCTAATTTCAAATATCAAATTTCTTAAATAAGATTTTTTTATATAAAAAAATTACTGATATACAGAATATTACAGGAGGACAGACACTCTATAACCCTATTACATGATTTCACAAGGTCATATACATCAAGGAGAAAAAGAAATACAAGTTACAAGGAAAATGCACCGGTTAGGAAAGAGGCAAAAGCTATACATTCTTGACCTTAAACCAAGTCCAAGATATGAACTTAATCAAATTTAAGACACAGATGAAAATCGAAAGCAACGCCTTAGAACATAATGATTTTGTGCATCCTTCAAATAGACCAAATCATTGTATCGCAGAATATATATGATAAACATGTTGTAATTTTCTCTTCTCAAAAAATGAGAAAAACTGAATATGAAGATTATATACATGTTAGTATTGTAAGTAATACTTCAGGATAACCATGCACACATTACATATCAAATCTGATTAATTAATTACCAGACACAATATTAAAAGGTGATGATTATCTTTCCCCAGATATATAAAAACAGATTGGGGTGACTCTCTTCTTTTACACAAATTAATATTAATATGTGTAGCCTATCCAAAATTTAAAAAAAAATAGATTAATCTTATTTTATAAAATTTTTATGAGAATTAATTAAAATCACTTTAAATAAATTTTATGATTACAAAATATTAAATTTTAAAGTAAAAAATTACATAAACACCACTTCAACGTAAAAAAAAAATATTACATTGTGACGTATTATGAAAGAGGTTATTGTAAACATTAAAAAAATAAAGAAGTAGTTGTGTCTAATTTTCCAAAATATCAGAAATGCTAGTGCATTTTATCTAAATTTTATTAACAACTCATTTTTTCAATAATAATATTTAAATATATTTTTTTCACTTTATAATCAATTTTAAACCACATAAATTTTGCATGCACGAGTAGAAGTGACTCTAATCCTAGAAGTTTGTAATTTTCTGTTCATTACTAAAATTCATGTTTTTTAAAAAAATATTTAATTTTTTATTTAACATCATAATACTGCATAAGATTTTCTCACCGACAAGATGGGAAAATAGTCTGTGAAATAAAAACAAATTTCTCTTGTTAGATTCCATATATTAAATTATTACTACTTCAGAGAAAATGGGAAAAATAATAACATGCAGTAACACAGTGAAGAATGGTATGCAGGAATATTAAACGGTAAAGAACAGTAACAAAAAATAAACAAATAAACAGTAAAGACTAAAGACTAAAGAGTTAGATTCTAAGAAATTTCACATATAAGTGAGAATTTGTAACGTGAAAGTTAAATGTGTTAGGTCCTGACGAATGACGCTAGTCACTGCTGTCTGAGAACGCTTTCCGAGGTAGATTGGGAGCTAGCGGTGAGGCGTAATTGCGGACCCTCTTGCTCTCTGTACTCACCACTTAATGCACCTCATATTATATTTATTTCACATTTTTTTAGTTTTACAACTTCAAACAAATATTTTACGCATTATAAAGAGAGGAGAAGCAAGTAAAAGGCATTGTAAAATATCAAATCACATATTTATAGTTTATGTCTCGCAGAAGAATCCTTATAATCTCAAGAGAATTTCAATTAAAATATGAATATTAAAAATATAAATAAAGCATCATTTGATATTTAACATTTTGTTTTTTCATAAAAAAGATGCTATTAACATTGCTTGTACTGCTAACTGTTTTGCCAGTCCTTTTCAGAATTCCAAAATAATGGAAATCAGCTTTAGCAATTTTAGTAGCTTTTTCGCTTACATAAACGTGTGCAAGTCAATAAATTTTGTGTTCTTTTTAACATAAATAGTTCGTCAGTGCAAGTACAATCTGAACGCACCATGTTTCTCCCTGAATCTCCTTTGTTCCTAAGGCGCACACACGCTGCACGCATGCATATAGCAATATAGAAACGTACATCTTTTTTATATATATATCTAACTAATCAATCAATAGTTTATTGTAAAAAATTCAGAAAGCACGATATATATGATAATAAAAATATTTTAAATTATTATCATTGCATCAAAATCAAATCGTTATGTAAAACTATATGGGAAACACTGAGAGGAAATTGTAGCATATGAAGCAAACCAAATTATTATTTGTACAAAAGCTACAGCTAGCGCATGCACCTTCAGGCTTTCACAAGATTCGGTTCTCTAATAATACTATGTGGATAAATTAAACAATAAATCTTAGCTTCTCTGTTGCTGGGACCCACTTGAGAGAAGGAGACAAAATATGCTTTGTTTTGAAAACTGTGAAAAAAAACCTAACAGTATTGAATTATTATTAGCAACAAAACTGAGAGAAGAGGAAAATGAAATTGAAGAATTGCATTGTATGATGTAAAAAGGACATGAGATGAGATAAGAAGATAAGACGTTAATGATAATTGCACAGAAAGTGGTCCCTTATCCTTATTCATATATATCCCGCAATTAAATGGGATTAAATTTACTTTCACCCAAACAGCGTGAAGTGGTGAAGTAACCTTTCAGGTTGTCTGGCTATATTTTTTATAAGATAATAATTGTTACTATGGAAACCCTTTTTTTCAAACCCTGTGCTAGGAAGAAGAAAGGAATGGAAGTATCATTAATTGTGAGATACGAGTACTTTTTTTTTCCTAATTGACAGTACTGAGTATAGTACACAGTTAAAAGTCCTCTTTGCACTATGTCCAATGTGTGTGGCGAAAGGCTGAAAGGGATTTATGAAGGTGCAGAGTCAACTCAAAAAAGGTTAAAATGGGTTGGCATTGTGCTTGCATTTGCAGTGGTTACTATTTGTAGCTCAACTATATAGGTTGACGGTGCACCTTTCATTTGCAGTATTAGGGTTTAGGGTTGAGTTTGGTTCCACTGACATGAAAAGAAAAGTAATAAATTGTAAAAATATACTTTTTTAATCATCTATGCACTGGAACAAATTGTACTACAAATTAGCATTTGATTCTCGATCGTTACTAATTCCTTTGAATCAAACCACACATGAAAAGGCTTGATCGCCCATTTGTTCTTGAGATTATGCTTTGATTCGAATGAAAAGAATAGAGGGATAATGAAAAGGACATAATCTATTTTTAAAAATAATTGACGCTTGCTCAAATATAACAAAATTAAAAAAGAGGAAAAGTTTGTCGTTATCTGAAAATTTAAAAAAAAAATGGAAACTTTGTTGTTATGAAGAAACTCAAAATCAACATTTTCGGTCTAGTGACGACTAGACTTTGTCTAGCTACAAACAGGGACGGATCCAGACACCAACGGCAAGGGGGTCCAATTTTTTTATTTTTTATTTATAATTATTTGAATATTTATCTATTAATAATTAACTATTTAATAAAAAAAATATATACAATATGTATTAATTTTACATATAAAATTAAATTTTATTTTTTTCAATAATATTAAAATTTTTACGTATTATATACTAACTATTATTTTATTTCAAACTAAAAATAATAATAATTTCATAAAATAGTCAATCAATATTCTTACATATATATATATATATAAAGAACCATGAGGCAGCGATAGTTATTTACCATGATTTATCAAAGATATGGTGGGAAGAGTTCATATTTGTTATATGTGAATCTGATTCACAATGTATTACAGATTTAATTCAAAAACTTTATAGTTCATTTTTCTCGTATTAATTACCCTTTGATTGCTCTCATAGGAGACCTTACCTCTAGTGGTTGCTCGCTTACTTTTACATCATACCTTGCGGGAAGTAAATGTATGTGTAAATTGGTTTTTGAAACATGGAGCCTCACATGATGATTCCATCACAAAATAGAACGAGTGTCCTTTT